CTGACATGAAACTAAGAAGCAGAACATTAATGCAACAGCCCTCTGTGTTCCCCAGCATTCTGCCTCCAACACTAGAGAAGCCATATACTCATCAGACCTTGCAGCCAATTGATAGCCTTATCCTCCTTTGCATCAACAGCATTTCTCGGTCTGGCCTTGCATGCATCACACATAAAAGGTTCCAGAATCAATCCCTGCTACTTTCACATCTTCTTTCAACTCTTCTTTGTTTTTCTTTTTAAAAATAAAGTTCCCCCAGGTAATAAGAAAGAGATCCTGAATAGTGGTTGTGTGTCAGAGTAGGTAATACCAGCTGGATAAGCAAATTGTTGGCCATCATATGAGAACCACAGCTCATTCAGTAGAGCACCTGCTCTGCACACAGAAAGTCCCAGGTTCAGTACCTGGAGTCTCCAAGTAGGGTTGGAAATACTCCCTCCTGAAACCCTGGAGAGCTGCTGCCAGTCAGTGCCAGCAATGGTCTGGTGGATCAATTGCCTGCCTCAATGTGAGGCAGCTTCCAATGTTCTAGCCAGAGCAATCCTGTGACCCCTGGACAGCATCTAGGGTGCTGCAGGATTTTTCAGACTCACTCTGACCTCAGAACTGGGTTCCACACTCAGGATTCCTCCCCCAGTTTGCAACCTGCATGGAAAGAACTGTGTTAACTGCTTTTCTTATTCAGTATAAGGCAGCTTCCTCTTTTCCTGCGAGGCATCTTTCTTTATCATCTTATCTCACCTTGTCCTATTTTAATATAGAGGAAGTCCTCGGTTGTATTATTGCCCATTTATGAAGACAATAATGAATTTGCTGCATGTCAGTCATTCAAAATATTGCAAGGAAGTTTTCTCAGAGCAAAAATAAAATACTTGATATTGCTGCATAGCAAAATTACATCCCAGGACTTCTGAATGAGCCTAAGGCAATTCAGAGTAAAGGAAGCAAGAGTTTGTAAGCCATGAACAGAGAAAACTGAGTCTCCTTAAAGAGGATCAGCATCCCTCAAGGCTTACAAAAGGTAATGTGGCCCGAACTATAAATCACACACATGTGCAATGTTAGCCCAATGGCTTGTGAGATGAGGCAATACCATCCCCCAGTGAGGCAGCACAATGCCATCTTCCTATTATTTTTGCAAACCCCAAAATCATCTCCTGGTCACCTTTCATTATGCACTTTCAAAGGGCCTGTTACCGTGTCACTTATGTCCAGTTTTAATGAGGCATTCAGAGAAAACTGCAGAGCCCTCCCCGGAAAGAGTCCATCTTTCATTTAATTTGAACAGCTTGATGTTCTTTCTCTATTCCTGCTACTTATGAAGCAGGCTGGGCATTTACCTGAAAAAGTCACATCACAATCACTCTGCAATCTCTATGGCAATCTCTTTTTGCGACACAGTTATGCTCCTCCTATTTACACTCCTGTAGTGGGGCAAGTACATACATGAGAAATGCAACATTGACATCTTGTGGCAAAAACAAATTAGTGCAAAGCAATTTTATTTGCTCAACAACACTGTATCCTGGAGGACCAATGAGAGTCCATCTGACAGCTGAAGGATATTTCTTTCTGGATTCTGTGGTGATTCCATGCTTTTCTGAATGATGAATTTGTATCCATCCGTCGTAAAAATTGCCTGGGTGCTACATAATAGGGCTTGATAGAGAAAATACAGGTGGAGTGACAATAGTTGTTTGTATGAACTTTGATAATTTTAGCATGTGCTAGTGTTTTCCATCAAGAACAGCCTCACTGAAGAGTGATACTTACATTTTATACATGCACGTTAAAACAATTGGCTACCCATAGAGTCAACTGGGATGTATGGAAACTGCATCCAGGAATACATTTCCTGTAAGAACATCTAGCAGTTGATTCCTCAGTTCTCTAGGGATGATGGGATGTACTGTCTCTTGAAGGGCATGGCCTGTTCTTAAAGGAACCACAGTGAGGTTTGTGTGAATTTTAGTTAGAGGCAGAGGGATGGAAGCTAAGCTTAAACTAGCTCCCTTCTGTGTGTGAAAGCCAGGAGGGCCTATATGTAGGTCTCCCTATATTTGTAGGAAGTCTGCAGTGGTGGGTGAAGTAAGATATGGCTAATGAATTCCTTAATTTAAGCAAGGGTGGTTCCTTAATCTCATGTGCTGTCGTGTGTCTTTATTCAGGGGTGTGTGGGTAAAGTAATTCAGCTCCAGATTAAATTACAGCATGAAGATGGTAAAAATACTATCAGTCTTCACTCTGTGCCCTTCCTTGGCACTCTGTGTCACAAGTTGTGCTTCAAAATGTACTACTACGTCACTAATTGCAGTCTTTTCTGCTGGGTCAGCTTGACTCGTTGGGATGTGCAGAGAATATCGCAAGAGAAAGGTATGAGAAACTCATTATAGTTCATTTTCGTCTGGGATTTAGTTCACACCTTCTAGAATGAGCACAGTCTTGGACTCAATCTGAAGACAAAGCCAGTATGTTTCAGAGTTCGCACTATGATTTGCAGATGCCAAACAATGCACTTCATAGCATGTGTACATCTGAAAAATGTGCATAAATGCACTTTAGCTGATGAGAGGAGAATGCTTATGTTTCACAGATGCTGTGCACTTGATGTGTACATTCGGGAAAATATGCATGAAAATGTTGAAATGAACTTCAAGACAGAATTCAGAGAACTTTGGAGAACTCAGGTTTTCCTGATTCATTCCTCCCTAAGCTCAAGCTGTGCTGGAAGTGCATGGAGGAAGTGGAGCTGGTAGAACTGATCCTCCATCAAGAACATTTGACGCACACCGATACACTGTTTGCACAATCCTTCTAAGACTGCACACACAATTCATTTGGAAAATGTCTGGGAACAAGAATCCATGCATGTGATGGTCCAAAATGAAGATTGAAGAGTGGTGACTGGTAACCTTTGGGAATATTAAAAATGACCTCATTTGTTGTATTTATGATATCAAAACTTTGATAAGAACAGCACTCACTATAGTATGTTGTTACAAGCACCAAGTTTGAGCCACTAGAGGGCGAAATTAGACCAACTGATTTCTGGTGCAAATCAATTCCATACCCTCCAAACTCTTCAGCAAATAAAAGTAGGAACCCATTTCTATTCCTGCAGCAGCCCTATTCTCACACCAACAAGGCTATTGGACAGGGTTGTGTCAAAGGCTGCTCTTGAACCTCGTCTCCACCGAGTCCCCAAACCTATATTTTGTATAGGGAAAAGCTTCTATTTGCTTCAACTGGACCTTTTTTCCTATTATGCAGATTGTAGGTGTAGTCCCAGCCTAACCCAAATTGACACCACAGGATAGTGGATTCAGATTTAAAGACATTCCTATTAGCAATGCTAAGATCCTGATCCACCTTGGGTCCCCAACAGTTACTTTTGAGTAAGGGAAATACCTAGCATAAAACTAAAGTGTAGTTTGGGTCTCAGCAAAGGGGCATGAAAGTTAAAGAGTAATCATTGTAACAGCTCATGCGAGCAACAGTTCCAGAAGGTAAAATAGGGTAAGTGACTTAGCAGAGTGTGCAACCAGAAACTATGCTGGCCATTCGGGACCACTGCAGTATATACAACGGCAGCTTAATGTGCAGTTTATTGTTTAGATGTTCCTCTAGAGTGCCTGCATGCTACTTTTTTCTTGAGTCAAAAGCATTCATATAGCTTGAATGTAACCTCTGTGGCTCCAACGCCATAAGAAAAACGGCCATAAAAGCATGCATTTTGTGCTGGAGTGGACTCTTGCACTCAAGACAGAAGGGCCAGACGCTAGGCCATGGGTCCTCAAGCTACGGCCCAGGAGCTGGATCTGGCCCACCATGCCCCTTGGACCTGCCACGTGTGTGCCCGCTGCCGCCCACCTCGCCCCATGCGCGGGGAAACAGCGGTTTGCTCACTCAGAGAAAACGATCTCCAAGCAAGCCAGCCGCTGCCTCGTGTGCCTGCCCTGCTGCGCGCCCTGCCCCTGCGCCTGCCCGCGTGCACCGCCGGCACCACCTTTCCGGCCCACACCCAGCACCGGCACCTTTCAACTGGCCCCCTGGTTAAAAAGTTTGAGGACCCTTGCTCTAGACCAACCTGGACTCCTCCCACACCAGCTGGAAATGATGGGAGTTGAAGTCCAACTCATCTGGAGGAGGGCACTCGCTTGGCAAAATCTGCTCTAGGCCTCCTCACTAGCTCACTCTGGTTTGTGGATATTATTTACTCCCTCCTCCTCTGCCCCCCAACTGTGAAGCCGAAGAAGGGAACTTTCCACAAGTCAGGGTGGGAGTTTCCTTCCACTCTAGCTGCACATTGAACAAAGGTGAGTGCTGCATTTGCAGCCCCACCCCCCTCCCTTGGCGCTGCTTCCACCCATGAAGGAATGAGGATGCCAGCTGAAGCGAGGTGGGCATCAGCGTCAAAGAGTTTCCACACCCCTGCTTTGGTGTCATTCGATCTCAAATGCCTCTTGTTCTGGCTTTTCTACTAACAAGTCAAACTGCATGTTCCTATACCTAGACTTGCCAGAGAGTAAGTTGAACTCTATGGGTCTTACCACTGATATACGTAGACATCTGATGGAGCACACCGTAAGTGCATTTTCAAATAGTGTGTCTCTTCAAAGAGCAGCTGCAAAAGACCCCGAACAAGTTCCCCACCCACAATCAGCTCTTGAAGCTGCTGTTTAAAAAGCAAACATCACAAAGCACAAAATCCCTTGTTGAAACAGATGAAATATTTGAGGAAGAAAATGGCAAGGAGGAGAGTTGGCTATATAAGGCTACACTGCAGGTTAGTGGCAAAGTTGAAACCAGCAATCAGGGCTTTTGGATGGAATTTAGAGATCTGAACCTTACCCCACTAGAATTGCCTGCAGGCAATTCATATAGCAGAATAGCTCTGAACCTTGGGAGCTTTACAGTGTGAATACTGATAAGGGACAGCCTAATGTAAAGCATTTTTTCATGTCTTCTCTAAAAACCAGATTTTAATGATCTGGATGATTACCAGCCTCTTTTTAAAAATATGTGCTTTCTATGTGTTTCTTTCATTCCCAGTTTGGCAATTCAACCTTAAAACAAAGGCAAAAGAAGCAGTACCAAACCTCCTTCCCCAGAAAAATGCAGTGTGGTGTGATGAGATTCTTTCAGGTGACCCTCTGTGATGTGTTCATGCTGGCCTCCTGAGCAGGGGTTCCCGCTTGGCTTGCAGAGAATGGACACAATAATTTAATATACAGATATCTGATCCTCCAAATGCCCTCTGCAAAGATCTAGAGTAGATTTCATTTCCTGTCCATCCCTAATTAGCAGCAGATGCTTGAAGCCTAGCCTGTGTATAATTGGTAGTTTGCAAGACGTTCCATGCAATTATAAAAAGGGTTTTATTGATCACTAATGACATCTACAGTTCATGCTTCTATACATTCCTTTTATATTATCAGCATGCACTTTGAATACAGATGGTTTGATGGTATTTTGAGCTTCTCAGGAGCCTCACAATTCTCTCTCACTCCTTGTTCTATACCCCCATGCCCTCCCCCACCATGAATTATACAGAAACAGAAGAATTTCATGGATGGGAGATGAGAGCTGGAGGATGAAAGCACTGTACTTTCTTAAGGAAGAACTTGGTGCTACAACACACATGAAACTTAGCCCAGATAATTCTACTGCCAAGCAAATGGTTACAACAAATGCAGGTAAACACACTGCAAACTAGAAGAGGGTTCTGCTGTAAAAATGAATGTGGGGGTGCAACTTTTCTTGGACTACTATGCTCACATAGTCACTTGTAGAGCTATGCAGTTATAAAACCCTGTTTCTCATGTTATGCTGGCTGAATAATAACAATTTACCTTGCCAAATAATAATGGTAATTCTTACCTGATATTTTAATGCTGACTTGGCTTGAGTGCATTTTATAACTGGCTGGGAATGTTGCTTCAATAACAGCAGCAGTATTTCTATCTACCCAAGCAGTGCATGGAAAGGAATATGGCATTGGTACTCTGTAAGCACTGATTAATAAACTGAATTGCACTATAGCAGAAGGTAGAAAAACCTGCTCTTGTCTGGGCTGGGGGAAGCTAATTGTTTGAAGCACAAAGCACATCCCAATGTCATGGGAAATTCATTAAAATTCCCTATTATCCTCTTGAAAAAAAATGAGGCTTTTTCATACAGATGTGAGATGGATAGACATGTCTATATTCATATAGACCTCCCAGTTGTGAGACACCGTAAGTGCTATATTTGATTTGGGAACTCTTTTGATCCAATGACTACTGTTTTAAAGCTGTCTGAATGCAATAGCCTCAAAATCCCAAGTGGAAGCAGTTTTAATCTTTCTGCTGCAAAGTTACAGACTGAACAAAACTGGATGAAATAAAAAGCAATGATGGCAATCAAGCATGACTATTGAGCAGTTAGAAAATTGTTAGAATGGTGCAGTGAGAGGGAGGACAATGCTTCTCACTGGAGCTGTGGACATACCAAGATGCATTTATGTTTTTCTGGAGAGAACATTGTCAACATGTTATGAGTGAGATGAGTTTGTTATGATTTGGCAACTTCATGGTGAAATGTGATAATGTAGCATAAGGATTAAGCCAATACATTATTGCATATGCTTATAAGGGTACAGGGCTTTTGATTCCTTGCTCGATTCCGCTCTATTCTATTTATTTTATTATTGCATGTCTATAAGATGCAGTAGCTAAATCTTGGCATGTTGTGATCAATATGGAAAAATGACTTTAAAAAAGAAAGAAAATTCCACGAGGATGCTATCTCACTAATGACTGACTCAGGAGAGATATAGTCATCTTTGAAACTCAGTCGAATTTTCTCTCTTCCGTTGTCTATTTTCCCACCCAGTTTCTAAATGCTTTTTGCTGTGTGGCCAACTGTTTAATATGTTTTAATTTTGTTTGGATTCAATCTTGCCCACCCCCACCACATGTCTCCCTTGTCTTCATGACTCTTCTACGTGGAAATAGCAAATCCCAAAGGCATCCTAGCTGGCACCAAACTTTTAGAAACCTATGAATACAATGCAAGCAAACAAACACCCTTGTCCACCACCCTCCCCAAAAGAGACACACACTGCCTGGCAGGATGTGATTAAAAACCAGGTAACTGATTGGCTGCTGAAAGCAGGAGGACAGAGAGAAGGGGGGAAAGAGGTGGGTCAAAGTGTGTGTTTGTTACCTGATTGGCTAATATGAGCAGCATCTGTTGGATCAAGTTATCAACTCCTTTCATATTATACAATTGCAGAAGCCAAGTCAAATGAAGCAGTGTTAAATTGAGAAAGAGGCCTCCACTCCCTTGTGATCATAGGAAAGTTATGGCCCTGTTCTGAGGGTGGGTGGAGGGTGGGGTTAGGGAAGGAGCAATTGCTAAATCTCTATAACGCTGGCCCATCGCAGGCAGAGTGGTGCGTCAGAAGGCACATTATTCCGACGAATCTCATTCCCATCCAGCCTCAAGACTTGTAGCCTGGAGAAGTTCATTATATCCACAATGGTGCAGAAGCTGCTGATGGTGAATTCTAGGAAATAAAAAGAAGGAACCCCACATCACTTAGACTCTTCCTTTAAGCAACAACGGGACAGATATACTAGGTTCCTACAGAAAGAGGCAAGCAGCCTTTGTTAGCATGCAATCCCCCGTGCAGTTTCAGAAATTTGCTAGCTCAAGCAGTGGTATGGTTATTCTCAAGGAAGACTCTGTTACATGACGGCACAAGGGAAGAATTCTCACCATCTGCTGTTCATCGAGAGAGAGGGTGAATGTAGAAAGTGAATGGCAATTTCAGCAGTGCTAATCTGCTAGCTATACCCATGAAACTAGCATGGTAGGAGCTACAGAGTTGACATTTTTGTAGGTTCTATGTTCAGGCTATTTTCAGAGATGATTAAGAATCTATTATTTAAATGGCTCACCACTCCTGTGAAACATAGGAAGCTGAGTCAGACTATTGGTTCAGCTACTCCAGATTGTTGACACGGATGGGTAGGCTGTTAACACTGATGAATGCCCTGCCTAGATATGTTGGGAATATCCTGGGACTTACTGTAGGCAAAGCTTGTGCTCTGCCCACGAACTGTGGTCCCTCCCAAAAAGATCTAACTTTAGGAAAATGTTTCATCACATTTTTTTCCAGACCTGAGGTCTACTCCTTACCATCTTTAAGAATGATTGAGAGCAGCCTCCTCTTCCTTAGAGGAAACATATCTTCTCATGGGTGTCAATGCACCAATTCAAATTCACCAGCACAATATCCTTCCATAGTTGACTGAAGCAGGGCATAAAGCACTGCACATGCATGCAAATCAGCCTTCCAGCTGACTCCTCAGTTAAGTGTTTTAGGAGGATCTTGCAGGTGAGATACCACAAGAAATTAGGTTAGAACAAAAGTTAGAAAGTGGTCTTACTGAATGTTATGTGTAGCTGAATTGAATTTACTTTACTTTCCTGTTTACCATCTCTTCCATCCTCTACCCCTCCTTTTAATGCTTCCTGCTGTTGAAACATAATTTGTAACTTTCCTGGGGCAAGAACTTATCTTTTTTGATTTTCACACACACATGCATGCTATCAAGGAATAAAGAGGTAGGTTTTGCAGAGGAGGAGGAAGTCGGAATCCTAGTTCAAACAACTGGCTTGGTTTTTCCTTCTGCTATTCTTAAGTGCAACTATTCAGTCTTCCAAGAGATAAATTGGTGGAAGTATAACTCTTGGAAGTGTTGCAGTGTTCCTTTTAAGCAGCCAGAGGGCAACCAAGACCTAGAACTTGGCAGCAAATTAAAAGATTCCCTTGAAACAGCTGCTCCTCGTTTAAATTCTGGAACGGAACCCATGTGCCACCAGGGCAGTATAGCAGTGAGAAAGGTTCAGAGTAGCAAGTGTCTATTGCTCACACACTGCCTGGGGAAGGGGCAGGTAGGTAAATGGGGCAGGGATGGTTGTTGGTGTAGCCAGAAACTATTTTTATGGAAGTTAGAGTGCAGAGAGTCAAGATTAGTGGCCAGGTAAGCAGAGGTATGCAGCAGCAGAAGTGCCATGCTGGATCAGTGCTCTGGTGTGCATGGAGTACCCAGTCTGATGTTGTAGACCAGTTCAAGCCTAACTATCAGCCCCTTGGGGTTCAAGATAAAGTTACAGCCTTTCAGAGCATGATGACTGTACTTCTGACTATACATTTCGCAAAAGATAGCTCTATCCTCCACGTAGTTCTATAATATTTAGAAAAAAATCCCTTTACAAAGTGATCTTGCAACCCCTAGACAGCATCTGTCACCTTTGTGCATTTCCTGTCCTTCATAGGATGCTCATAATGCTGTGCTTGATGGCTTGTGGACATCCCCTTTGGACTGAGCCCTTACTCTACTTCTCCCAGCAATATCTTACAGTAGGGAAAGGCAGCATGGTATCCATGGGCACCAGTGGACTCCTAGACACCTTTCTTGGCATAACCTTGGTGCCTACCCCTCCCACTTTTCAAAAATAATTAGCATATTTTCTTACTGCCCCCTGGGACTGCAGTGAAATACATTTCTGTTGCTGTTGAAAACAAGGAGGCAGGCACATTGCTCAGCCAACAGGAATAAAGCACGTGAGGACACATGTGGCTAGGTGCCAAGGATAGTAGGGAATAGATGGCCGAGTGGGCACTTCTGCAGCTGTTCTTCCCATGGGACTGCATGATGCTTCTATGCCAACAATGGTACAGTGGAGACTGCAGGTCCAGATGATCAGAGAAGAGGTGCGGAAGCCTTAGAATAGCCCATTGATTCTTCTCATGGATTCGGGAAACTAAACGTACCGTGAAGAAAGACCATGACTGGCTCTGGACGACACAACAATCCACAAGGATAAGAAATCAGCATGGCTTTTTGTGACATGTGAACTCGGCCATGGTGTCTTTGAAGCCACTGTGGTTTAATGTGCTGGTCAGTGAATGGACCTTCTCACCCCCATCGTCACCACCTGCTCTTGCTTCTTCTCTTTTTCATCATTGTTCCTGCTTGCTTGACAGACAGGTGTCACCTGCTGTTCCTTTACCTCACTACCACCACTGCCGGGCTGGAGTGAGATGCAAGTGAGCAAGCAGCTTGCAATGGTAAAGAGAAGGAGCAGGGCTGGAGGGCTCTTATTAGTGGGGATGCTGGCCCTCGGCAAGCGGCCAGCCATATCCAGTCTCGACACTGGCCCTGCACACACTGCTATGAGGTGAGGAGGGCACAGATCAGCTGATGTCGTGAGCTCTTAATTTTCTGCCCTACACAACAAGTTCACAGTAACCGTGCTGTGTAAATGAATTTGAAAAGGGCTAAGAGTAGCAACGGGCAGCAGCTTTCAAAGCAGGCCAGAGGTTTGAGTGGCGATTCTCTCTTTCACATAAACCCCTTTTTGCTGCATTATGGCTTTTGGCCAAAGAGTTTTAGTGGGTTTTTGGAAACGATGCAAATGCCTGCAAACCCGCCCAACCACAGTGAAAAGCAGAACAAGAGTGCACAACATGCATTGCGGTATTCTCTGAAACCACCTTCAAACTTCTGGGAAAAAAATAATCATTTCCTTTAGCCTCCAAAATTCCAGGCTAGTTTCTTAGCCATTGCCTCATTTTGCTACACAGAAGTGATTAGGCTTTGAATTTTGTAAATGTCTTTCAGTTCTTCACGTGAAAAGGAACCAGGGAAGGAGGACTGGTGATTCTTCCTCTAAGATGTGCCTCAGAAGAGGAGCAATTCTGCCTTAGAGATCAAGGCAAACTTATCTTTAAAGGCCCAGCAGTCAACCGACCATCAGGTATACATAGAAAAGGAACTTAGGACAAAATCTAATGCAAGTTTAAACAGAAAAGGTGTATAATTCCCAGCATGAAGCATTCTGGGAATTGTAGGCCTTTTTTTCTGTTTAAACCTGCCTAGAATTGCAGGCTTAGTTACCAAGTCTTGTTGCTGTGCAGCATTCCTCATTTACTATGGGAAAAAAGCAAACATCTTCTAAGAAACTTATTAGAAAAACTTTAAAGGTCAGCTGCAGAGCTACTTGAAGTATGAGTGAATAAATAAAGAGAAATCTGGAGAGATGGTTAAGGGCCTCACTGTTGCATGGAGCCAGATACAGATTGGAAGGAAAATGTTGAGACTACGGCAATATTTGTTGAGCTGTTCCAAATGAGAAGGGATGCTTGTCCCTGCCAAGAATGGATGGCATTGCTGACATTTAATCAAAGCATTGCAGAGAGCCTGCCTTGCTGCTTGGAACTCTTGCAGGACATCTAACCCTTGAGAAGCTCAACAGGTGAGAGCCAACAGGGAACGCATTTTCTTTCAGACATTTGGTCTTTCAAAATAAACCCATTTTTTTGTGGCTTGAAATCCAGATAGATCTGGGGATCAATGCCAAAATGACTTGAGAGGGTGAAGGTGCCAATTTCAGAACTGGCACCATGCTGGAGATACAAGTAAAGGTTTTCTTGTGTACTTCTCAGACCCACCTGCAAAGGAACTTATGAAGCAGCCTTTATTAGTGGAAGCAAATGTGTCATGGTATAAATATATGACCATGGTATAAATATATGACCCTATGGGGCTAGCAATGCAGAATATAAGATTTATTATCATTAACAATAATAATATATCTGGGACTTTGGAAGAGGTATTTCTGCAAAACACATTTACTGCTGCTGAAGACACATTCTAATGAATACAAAGCAGTTTTAACAGTGCTGAAAAAGTTACCTTGTGTCACACACAAATGGAATTTTGGGAGAAGTAGGAAGAATCAGAAAGGAGGTGTATGCAGAAAAATGGACCTTTAACACAATAGGGTTCCACTGCCTTCCATATGCTATGTGCAAGTGTGAAGGAAAAAGTAGAAAAGAGAAGAGAAGAGAAGAGAAGAGAAGAGAAGAGAAGAGAAAAAAGAAAAAAGACAGCTCCTTGTGTTCCTCCACAAAAAATAATGAAGAATTGGACAGAGGGAAAGAGGGGGGAGTCTCTGGTGTTGCTTGCTGCCATTTCCCCCCTCCCTTGTGGTGAAGCCAGCAAGGTTTGTACCACCTTTCCTCTCCACCCAAAACCAATTCCTGAAAGCAAGGGCATCCCCCCTTGGGCTGACCTTCTGAAGAATAAGCACCATTGAACTCCAGGTGGTTAGTTGTTCCTTAGAGAGGAGGGGAGAAGCAGCACTGGATTCATTCTTTAGTTCACTGGGCACATCAGGGGGACAGATCAGCCCGTGTTGGGGGTGCTGTGTGTGAAGGAGGCAGACAAGCAACTGAAGGCTGGCTGGCTAAGCTCCTTTTCAGAGTGGCTACTGCTTTGTTGAAGCCCAATAGCACATTCCCTCACAGCTCACTAGTCCGCCAAAGCCACTTCTTCTCCCCACAGAATATTTCTGCAAGGGTACCTCAGGAAACAAGGGGACATATAATGACATCATGGTGCAAGCGATCTGAAGACATGTGGGATACAATGGCAGAAACAGGGCAAGGAGGGCCAGTTGGGGTGAGTTGTATTACAATGCCATTAAAAATCTCTCTTGTAGGTTCTCCCATCACCCCAAGTTAACCGAGTCTGAATGGCCTATATGATGCAAATCTGCTAGAATAGGCAACGGCAACTGCAGTGGGGACTGGAATGCTTGCTGAGGATTCTGTTAAGGGGCCACATTCAGATGCAACCACACACCATGTTTTATTGTTTGAGAATGTTTCACCATGTGCCTCAGATTCTTGCCTTCCCTTTCATACTCCAGGGGAGGAAATTTTGAAACTTCCAGTTGTTTGTTTGTTAATAAATTGCACTTTCCTATTTTTTCCAAATATGGAATCTGTGATTTGAATGGATCATTCTTAGTTCAATAGGTGCTTTGTTAACTTACTACTGCTTGTACAAACCACAGTCTCCCATATTTGGATAAAATGGGGCATGGAAGTCTGTTACAGATTGCAAGCTTCAAATTTTCTGCCTTTGTGCACAAAGGGGTGCATACAATCAAGAGTCATTATAGTCCATTCTTGTAACACTCAACTGGGCTGGGTAAACATCTGTCCGTCCCCTGAAGGGGACAGATGCTTGGTTGATGCTTGGTTCATTTGATGCTTGGTTGGAGGCTATGGGCCAGTGGGGGAACTGGACCTGGTGGTGGGTGTGGGCAAGACCAGCATTCCCCTCCCTCCAAGATATACTCATAGCCCGCTACTCACACACAGAGACACACATGTGTGTGTCACCCCCCCCCCCACAGTCTTGCTGCATTGTGTTAGAGCTTTCTCTGATCATCAAAGTACAGCCAGAGCTGCTGTTTCTGCACTGCTTAGCTCTGTGGAGGAGACAGTGATCTCGGCTGCACTGGATCTCTGGGGTTGGCAAGGTTAAAGCCACATGCCCAGTGATCCAAATGAATGTTGCTGCCGGTGTGCCTGTGCTTATAGCAATCTGTCTCCCCCTGCCCAGCTGATGGCATATCAGGTGGGGCACGAAGGGAGTGCATGGGCTCAGCAGACAGCATGTGATGTGCTCTACCTGGGCACTAAAACAACCAATCGATTAGTGCTATGCCTGTGGCTTCAGAAACATTGATAGCTGGTGATCTAGTCTGGCTATGGAAGTAAAATTCAGTAATTTGCCTTTCAGCATTTGCATCCACCAGGACTCAAGCAGATGAGGAAGTACGTTTATATGGAAGTGTTTATATGGAAAATACTAGCCATGCTTTGTATTATGTTGGACTAAAGATTAGTTAAATTGCTTCATTAAAATGACCCAGACAGGTGCCTGCTCTCAGTGTGCGGTATTAGACCTGAAGTTGGACCTGTAAGAAAAACTCCAGATGTGGAACACATTGAAGCAAATATTTCTATCCACAGAAATGATTGTTTTCCACTTATTTGAGGTCTGTCGTTCTATGGGGCCAATACTTCCACAAGAGCCCCATTCTATGGAGGGTATAACATTTTGCTATTCAAATTCAAATTTAATGTAGACTGAAGAGTGAAAGGCAAACAAGAGCACAGTGGTATGCACACTTTCTCAGAAATAAGCCATTATGCATTCAGTGTGGCTTATTCCCTGGAAGATGGAACAAGATTGCTACCTAATACTGAGTTCTGTGCACATTATTATTATTATTATTATTATTATTATTATTATTATTATTATTATTATATTACATTTCTATTATTTGAGGCAAGGTGGGTGGAGTCTCAATTGCTGAAGGTATTCAAATAGAGACTGGAGAACCATCTGCCAGGGCTGCTTTCAGCTGGATTCCTGCCTTGAGCAGGGGGGTTGGACTTGATGGCCTAATGGTCCTCCCAACCCCGTGATTCTGTTTTGACTGGAGAATGATCTGGAGAGATCCAGGTTGGAAAAGGCTGTGTTAGGTGATTCTCACCAAACGGAAATTAATTTGACTCTTTATGACAAATTCATCTTTTTTAAGATATAGAAACCACTTGTTCTTTTGCTATCTGTCTTAACTGCATTATACACAAATAGTGGCCTTCTTTCTTCCTCTTGCACCATTATACCTCTGGTAACTTAATGCACTCATGCACAGGAGAGGGGAAGACATCTGCCGTGTTTCATCTATGGCTTTGTTTGCTTTCCTATGTTCATCCAGCTCGAAACATGAGCATGTTGGTGGCATCCATGATGATTGGCTTCATGTCATTCTATAATATATTTGCTAAAGGGCAAAAAGGCACAAGAAGCCTCAACTAAAACAAACTCACCACTTGGCAATGGAAGCACCAGATGTTCTTTCCTACGCTGTTCTGAGTATATTATGAAATGTATCTAGATGGAAAACACCAAGGCAAATGCAGGCCATGTGTGAGACAGAGGTGGGGTAAAGCCAGTTTCCCATTGGCCACAACAAAATGTCAGCAAGTCATTGCCTGTTTCCTGCAGGTTTTGTGTCTCTCCTGCAACCCCATCTTGCTTTTTCCTTCCTTTTCCTCAGAGAACGTTGCTCTCCCCCCACCTCCACCTTTCACCTGTTTCTTTCCTGGTACATACATTTCTCTTACCAGTGCATTATGAGTACCCAAACCCCTAGGCCTGCTTAAACATGTTTTAGGAGCAAGGGAACTGGCAGATCACTCTCTGTACGTTCTGTTTATGAGGCATTTAACTCAGTGCTTTATTGAGGCATCTTCCATTTTCTTCACGGGGAATTATTGCATCCTTCTGATCAGGTGCTCTTCCCCACACCAGGGCTCTCCTCTCTGCCTTTCTATGTTCCACTACAAAACACAAGGTGGCGCTGAGATATAGTGCGGAATTGCCAAAATAGGCTAGGTCAGCGGTGGCGAGCCTATGGCATACGTGCCACAGTGGGCATGCAGAGCCCTCTGTGTCGGCACACAAGGCAATCCGTGCCAGCATTGTTCCAGCAGCCGAGCATTGGAGAACAGCGCACATATGTGCCATGCGCATGCTCAGAAAGGAGTAGAGGTGCCAGACGATGACATAACGCGCCGCGACTCATTAGCCGCGACTCGTCCGAGCTTTCACATGGCCGGTCAGTACACTGCCAAGGATATATGTATATGAGTTGTTTTTTCTAAACTCAGTTTCAGTTTTCCGGTTTTATTGTAGTGTTGGCATTTTGTGATAAATAAGTGGGTTTTTGATTGAAGTTCGGGCACTCAGTCTTTAAAAAGTTCACCATCACTGGGCTAGGCTTTTGTAGGAGACATGGAGTCATCTGGGAAAATACCAGGCTTTCCTTGGTTTTAGAAAGCTGTGAAAATGGCTGGAAAGCATGGGGAGAGATCATGTGACAATGTCACAGAAAAGACCCATGAGTGACGGAACATCAGTGCACAATCAGTTCCTCATGCAGAGAAGCCTCGTGTGTGTTACTTTCTCCATTTCCTCTCTCTGTTCAACCCCCCGTCTCCCTCCTTCTCCTCTTCCTCCTCTTCCTCACAGACCGGGCTTAGAAGAGTAGGTGTGGCAAATGGCAATGCCTAGACCTTGACATAGTAATTCAAAGACAGAAAGAGGAAGAAAGCTCTTTCCTCCAGGATTTCAGTCCATCTGCTGGTTTAACAGACTCTAAAGGAGCTTCTCCACGCAGCCTTTATTTTGCAGTTGCACCACCTCAACTGCAGGGAGGTTCAGAGGTCATTGCCTTCCACTTGTCATCTGCCCCATGACTTCTTTTTGTCTTGCCACACAATATCTGCTCAAGGAGGGGAGCACAGAATAGCTGCAGGGAATCTTTTGACTGCTAGCACAAGGAGTTCCCCACCTGGCAGGGCAAGGCAAGCTTTTTTCTCTCAAGAGCTGCATCCCCCATGGGTAATCCTTTGGGCTTGGAAGGACCAGATCCAACAATGGGCAGGCCATCCCTTTCCTCTTTCTTCTATCCCCTTTCCTCTCTCTCTTTTCCTTGGCATTTGGCCAGCAGCCAGGGAAGAGACGGACTGCACTTGCCCTGAGGCCTGAATGAGTGCATGCAGGGGGCTTTTGCACTTAGGCTGAGGGCCGCAGGTGGCCCTAGTGCTGCAGGTGACCCACTCCTGCTTTGCCTTGTCCGAGCCATGGCCCATCCACCCACAGTGTTTCTTGCTCTGACATCAGAGTTCCCCACCCAGAATGAAGTTACTCACCATTGATTTTGTTTCCCTGGAGGTAGAGATTCTCCAGTCTTGTGCTGACCCGTGGTATCTTCTGAAGCCTGTTGTAAGAAAGATCCAGTTCAAGGAGGCTGCTTGTATTGAAAGCATTGGTGGCAAGTCCTTCATTTGTCAGGCTGTTATGAGACATCCGTACATACAGCAACTTGGGAGAGACCTTGAAGTAATCATCAGGGATCGTATATATATGATTATGCTCCAAATAAAGCTGTTCCAAGGCACTTGGAAGGCCATCGGGAACTTTCCGGAGTTGGTTGTAGCTCAGATCTGCCAGAATCAGAGACTTTAATCCCTTGAGGTTTGGTCCCATTTCATAGATCTGGTTGTGGCTGAGATAGAGAGCTGTGAGGTTCTCTAAGCCTTCTAGAGCATTGGATGGGACCTTGGAGATCTGATTATAAGACAGGTGGAGTTCTCGCAGTGACCGTGGCAAAGGGGTAGGTATCTTGGTCAGGTTGTTACGGTCAAGGTATAGCCTTTCTAGGTTCTTGAGCTTGGCAAAGACCCTCTTGCCCATTTTCTCACTGGTTATTTGGTTGTTGTGCAATGCCAGCCACTCCAGGCTGGTAGCGTTGTCGAAGGCTCCCTCTTGGATGGACACAATATGGTTGTTCTGGAAGTAGGCATACTTCATCCGGGAAGGCACAAAAGGAAGATACCTGAGATTACGAGTGTCACAGTACAAGGCAGAAGAGAAGTTGGGGGGGCATTCGCATTCATTGGGGCAATCCCTGGAAACGGGGGTTTCAGGAACAGGCTCCCCAACTGAGGATTCAGCTGGCGCATAAGAGTAAGATGAATATGCCGGGACCTCATCTTCATAATATGGCGAATAGCTGTAAGATGAAGACCGGCTGCGTAAATACTGTTGTAGCCAGAAGATGTCATCATATTGATCATCGTACTGGCTCAAGGACACTCCGCAGAGGGCAGCCACAATGAGAACAGAAACCCAGTGCATTGTGCCACCAATATTGCACCAACCTAGAAAGGGTGCAATGAGGAAGAGAGAAAAACAAACATCAGGAGTTGTAGCTAAGGAAGGAAGGGTTCTTTTATATATTAATTAACTGAACTATTTAAAAACCCACTTTCATCACCAGGGCATTAGACAAAAAATACGTAATCTAAAACGTACAGAAATGTAATAGCTCCCCCATCCCACCCCTCCAAGATTGTCCAAGAAAGTCCAAAAATGTTCAAAGGCCTGGGCTGCAAGATTGGCATCCATGAGGCTGAGGTTCATGACTACATTAAGGAGGAGCAGGTTCACGCATGTACTAAGCAGGATTCCCACAGCTTTCTGTGCACTGTTCGTTTATGCCATCAACTAAGTCGAGAAGTTAAGCTTTCCATGAATCATGTCTGGTTGAGGACAGAAGTGGCTTGGACTGCATGTCTGAATGCTGCTGCTCAGTGCTTCCTCCTCACAGAAAGGTGGAGTGTTCAGAGAAGACTAGTGTGTAACCTTTTCTCAAGAGGCTAGTTTTATACAGACCAGGAGGCTTTTTTCGCCCCACAAGGAAGTATTAAACAGCACACTGTCCCACATGGAGACTGAGGTGAGGCAGTTCAAGGGAAGTCTTATCACGTCATTCTACTGATTGAACAAACCAAGGGTTGGGGTACCTTTTATAGTATGAGTGGGGGTGGGTCAAAGGCAAAGGGGCAGGGCCAGATGCAAAAGGGATGGAGCCAGAACACAACACACACCACACATACCAGCATGTTTTGTTTCATTTCACATTGTTCCAATCAAACCAGAACTTTCTTTGGAAGCAAAAAATGGCAAAAGTCAAGCTGTCGTATTTTAGGAGCATCATGAGAAGGCAGGACTTACGGAAGAAGACAATCATGCTAGGAAAACTCAAAGGCTGAAGAAGAAGAGGAAGACTAACTATGAGGAGCCTTGAGTTTACAGAGCTGAGCAGTGCTAGAGGACAGGACATTTTGGAAGACTTTCATTAATGGGGCCACCATCAATTGGGGATGACTTGACGGCATGGAACAACCAGAGCAACCAGCATATTTTAGCTTAAAACCCTTGTCACTAGTAGCAAAACCTTAGGAGAGGCATTTCAGCCCTTAAGAATTGGGGCTGGGGTAGAATGAAGTTGGGAAATAACTAAACAATCAGCAGTTGGGAGAAAAAGGTGAGACTGGGGGAAAGGTCCACGACCATCTCAGGACATTTTGAGGGCTGGCGTAGGGCCCAGGAGGGCTTGACTTGGCCATGGCCTTCAGGTTCCCCCCTCCTGGTATAAACTGTCCCTAAATCGTTGGAAGAGAGGCTGATCTGTATCAGAAGTCCAAATAAGCAAGATAATAGATGAAGGGTTTGTCAAAGGACACAGCATAAATCACTAGCATAACAGGAACATAATTTATGATTGCAATGTAGCTTAGATCCTTAGATGATGTAAAAAGACAGTTAAACCCAGATCTGCCACATCACATAAGGCTGTTGAACTGTCCCTCTTTGTGTCAAAAAATCCTTACCCTCTCCAGATATTCTTCTCTCAGCTGAATTTCAGATATTTACTGAAGAGAAAAGTATCAGGGTGAGGGGATAGTATCTGTACAGATGTAAACCGTGGCTGGGTTTACACCTCTTGCCTTACAAATGGAATCCAGAACTTCCTTTTCTTTGTATGATTGGGTTTAAAGAGACAGGTTTCCTGCCAAAATGTCTAGCTAGGCCCTTAGAGGCAAACTAACCCAATGCAGACAGCTGTCTGTAACAGTTTCTGAAGGCCTCTTCTCCCTTGCAAAGGACTTTTTAGAGGGGGCAACTTACACTGAAAGGTTGGGAAGAGAAGGAGATGGTTTAACCTTTTTTCTCCCAACTATTCTATTTTTCCTCAATACCTTCTACCCCTGCAAGTGTTCACAGTTTCCTTTTAAATGTGTTTAAAATCCAGCAGAGATCAACAAGAGCTGAGCTTCTCCCTGTGCATTGCATCCAGGAGCTGCAGTTGTGTAGATGGCTAACCAAGGGCTATCCAAGGGCCAGCTACACTGGGGAATAGGTAAGGCCAAGGCCCTGGAAGTCCTGCTTCACTGAACAGGAGAATGTCTTGCTACTAAAACTTCCATCCAAAAATTGCAGGGTCGAAAGCAGCTTGGATGAGGCGAGATTGGGCCTTGATGAGCTTTCTAAGCATGAAAAAGCATTTACTTTTCTTGTAAGCAAATATGTGTTATTTGCAATGTTAAAAGCAACTGCAAAATGCATTATTTATTTAATTAATTATTGGATGTATATTAAAATGGACTGTCCTGCGTCAGTTTACAGATATGAACAAGGCACACTAAAATATAAAAACCTACTTTAATGATGAAATTGAAAACAGCAGCAGAATGTTAAAACAAGCAGAGCTAAAACAGAAACTGGCACTTCAGTGTTATCATGTGCACTCAGTAGAAATAGTACCCACTGAGTTCAGATAAATGTGTTTGTAATGTAAAATATTTAGAAGTAGCAAACTGGATTAAGGGAAGAATCCTATGAAACATAGCCTAGACATTGTCTTGGGGTGGAAGGATCATAGGATTTTTCGGACTCTCAGCTCTGAGGTGGGAGATGATGCTCCCACCTTGGTGCTGGGAATGGGACCTCTGAACCCCTGCTCCCATGGGCCTGGGAAGAACCTCACTGGCTGCCCTCTGAGGCTGGAAAACTAAAGGTGGCATTTTGAGGGTAGGAAGACGAGGAGACTTCCCTTCCCTTCCCTTCTGGACTGCCCCAGCTAGATGGCTGAAGATGATTGTTTAGAAAAATTAAAAGGAGGAGGAGCAAAGAAGTGACAATCACTTCCACTGCCCCTTCCACTCTGCAATGGATGCCCATAATCCTCTGAGTTCTGAGGCTTATGGGCATCTTGACTGGATTGTGCCCTAATTCTCAGAATCATGGTATTGGAAGAGAACCCGATGACCATCTAGGCCAGGCTCTGCAATCAGATGGTTGAGACTTTGCTTTAATATGTCCAGTGATGGAGAGCCTTCACCTCCCAAGGCAGTCTTTTCCACTGCCAAGCAGCCTTCCCCAGTGTTTAGGCCAAAACTGCTGCTTTACCAGGTCTACTCATTGTCTGTAGTCCTGTTCACTGAAGAACAGAGAAGAACCTTGCTCCATCTTCTGCATGAGAGCCCTTTGGATATTTGAAGACTGCTTTTATGACTCCCTTTCATCTTCTCTTCCCCCAGGCTCAACAGCCAGGGCAATAAAACTGCCTTGATCTAGAACCTAAAACTCATCATGGCCTGTGCTGGGCATAGAGTCCCATTGAGGGTATTGCAATGCCAGGGTGATACCAGTGAGGAAGCCCAACCCCTAGTCAATACTCACCTCACCTCTATCCGCATAGGTACCTGTTGGGATGCTGCTCTGGGGACTCACTACTATGGCTTGGAGTAGATGATCCTTGAGGTTATTGTATTACATGTACACTATATTTACACCCAGAGTTAGAGCAGGCATGTTTTATGAATGCCCTAGAAATTGTTCAGAAGCAGAAGTGATTCTGTCTGACTTGAGGAACTGATTAGTCAGTCTGATTAGGAAATGCTTGAAGTGCCAGTTGAGATGAAGGCAGGCAGGCAGCCAGCAGCTCACAGCCTGTCGTGCACTAACAGAAAGACTTTTGAAAAGAGCAAACATATTTGCACAGATCAAAGTTGCTTTATGAATAATGTGTGAATGGGGAGGTGGGATGAAGAGAGGAGACATGAGCTTTTTTCTTGCCTCTGGTCAAATCTTCTGTACCTCCTTCTGTACCCAAGGAGAGAAGGAGGAACCTGAGCTCAGTAGCACAGCTACTGGATCCCAGTTCCCAGAGAAGGGTCCCAGTTTGAGTCCCTGGAGTTTCCCATTAAAAACTGTCTCAGGTAACAAGCTCTGGGAACTTGGAGAGTGGCTGCCAATCTATTTAGACGGGGGTGCTGAAACTCTGGCACCCAGAGCATATATTCCATTTTGGAAAAGCTCTTGGGGGCTGCATTGCTATGGTGGGTGGGCTGAAGGCCAAAGGCAGAGGGGCAGCCCCAAATACCTACATATTTTAGCTTGCAGCTCTTACTGCTAGTAACAGCCTTAGAAGAGACATCCTACACTTTCAGATGGGCTGGGGAATAATAATTTAAAAACCAATACAGTCTAAAAGACAGTGCTGGGCTACATGGCTTGATAGCCTGGAATAAGGCAGCTTCCAATGAAGTAGGGACACTAGGGAGAGGGCACAGCATGCACTGCACTGTATGAAAGAACGGGATTCATTAGGAGAAGCCTTCAATCCCAAGCTTGCAACAACATCAAAGGGAGCAGTGTGGCGTAGTGGTCCAAATGGTAGACTGGGACTGGGCAGATCTGGGTTCTGGTCCTCGCTTGGCCAGTCACTTCAGCCTCCAGCCTCCCCCATGGAAAGGGAAACATGGAGAGAAGCAGTGGAGAATTGCTTAGAAGAGGAAACAAAATTGGGATATAAATGTGATGGTGATGGCAACTGTGTATGGTTATAGCAGGCCTTCTTCCTCGCCAGGACTGAATCTGCCCAGGTGGTTTATGCTGAGATAACAAGCCAAGTTTTCTTTCTGATCAGATGCATGTTAATGCATATTATTATGGGAGCTGGCAATGTTCAAATGGCAACGTCCAATTGACTGTTTTTGTCTGGCTGATCTTCCATAGTCAGTTGCAGGACAATTCTGTAGAGATCTACTTAAACTTGAGATCAATGGGACTTGATCTCAAGAAAGTGAGCCTAATAGGACTGTATATAGACTAAAGGTGCTATCCTAGGCACAGACCCCCCCCCCGCCCACTCCCAGCATCTCCCACTCAGTTGTAGGACTTTTTTCCTGTCTAAACTGGCATGGAATTGTGCTTTAATGCCTCTTGATTGGAGCTGAATCCTCTCTGGAATGTTGAAAATGAGTGGGGGTGGGACGATCAGAAGCTGGAGAAAGGTGACACAGCTCTCCCCATTCCTCCAGGGTGATGGAAGTTATTCTTGCTTATTACATCATCCTTCAGTCATATTTCCAAGACAGTTTACAAAAAAGATGAAAGCAATTGCAATTAACAGCACAGAAACATGATAAACTAGAAGGGCACGCAATCCTAGAAGCAGCATATTTATTTCTGAGTATTTACTCAGAATTATTTAACTCAAAATCTTGAGGAAATCAAAAGATATTTGGCTGGAACTGAAGGAGCACTAATGTATGCATCAGACAACAGTCCCAGGGAAGACAAGAGTTGTATAACTGGAGTGCCACCACCGAGAAGCAAACACTAGAGGAAGGTTTTGGGATGATGAAACAGGGAAACTGCTGTTTCAGAACGCTGCAATGTGGAATCTGTTTCAGCGGTGCATTTGTTACTGTGTTTAGGTGACTCAGATGAAAGAACAAAGATAAGGCAGGACAGGGTGAGACAGCACATGGCTTCTGGGTTACCTGCGGCCTACAGTGTTTCTTGCCCCCCCTCTCAAGTCACTGCGACTGCATTTTGGTAGCGCAATAGCAATGACAGCAAAATGCTGCATATTCCCTTTAAAACAAGGTATAGTCAGGGGCACATTATCTTATAATACTTGTGCTTTTTCAAGGATTCTGAGAGTATGATGTTGCATGAAAACAAATTAATGCAACTGTTTGCTTTTTTTCAAGGAAAATGGACCCATATTGCCACCATCATTCTGCAGCGATGCGGTAGCAATGATTTTGGTAGCTGGTGCTGCCCCAGGCACTCTTAAATTGCCCAGCCCTGCTATAGAGCTTTGTAGAAGCAAAGCTCAGCACAATATAACTTAGAGGATTTTGTGCATGAAGCTTAAAACTCCTTTGAGTCTCTCTCTTGCTAGTGATGCTAACATCTGTTCACTGTAAAAGAAGTATTTGTAATGAAAATCTGCATACCAGTCAATGTTCTTTTTATATTCATACTGAAGCACAAATCTCGTTTGTGAAAACAGCCCTAGTCTGGACTTGCCAACAACTGCCCATAGAACCTTACAGAGTGGCTTCCTTTCTTCAATTATATTCCTTATTTTCATGCACAATCCTGTGGTCTGAAAGTGAAGTGCATTCATAGCTTTTTTTCCTTTTTCTTTTTGCTTTGAAATACTGGCATAGCAGACGAAGAAGGTACAGTCCTCTGAATTTTGTGGTCCTTACATGGGCCAACTTGCTGCCTTACTCCACAGCATGCTTGCTAGAAAGTCAGAGATGGAAGCCCGGTGGCTTGACAGAAGGGCTTTTCCACATGAAAGTCCTGGGACAGGATCCAGCTAAGTGCAATCAGTTTTCTGCCCCACGTTATTTAAGTCCCACTTGATATCTCTGGAGTTCTTGAGCCAAGACACTTTATGCATGATGAGCAGTATATGCGGCAACTGTGAACTTCTAAAAAAGTTCAAAAGAATAACAGCAAAAACTAACAGGCTGGAACATTTTCCACGTGAGCAAAGCACCCACACATGGAAAATTCCCCACTGGGTGTAACGAATTTTCCTCCTTCCGCCTCGACACGTGTGCTGGCACCTCCCTGGAACATCACAAAGAATGAGAGGGGGTTTTTTGCATGCCTTCAAGAGGTTGAATCCAGATTTATGCTGGCTCAGCTGTGCTGGCAGGAATGGACTTCCCTGGCTCTACCCACCCCTAGCAGCCTTTCCAGCCTCCGAAAAGTGCTACATAGAGTCAGGTGACCCTGCTAAATGAGGTGAGCTGGGGTGTCTGACCACATTTGATCTTTAGAAATGAAAAGAAAAAACAGAAAAAGGTAGTATTCATTGTGACTTTTACTTAGAGCAGAGTTATTGTGGTGGATGGAACTTAAGTTAGAATAATGTTGGATACAACCCAGCATGTTTACAACAGGAAAAACAACAGGAGACATTTTATAAGGGCCACAGCATGGCATGTAAAGTTGTTGTGTCACTTGTCACTGCGATATCACAGGCACTATCCAAATAGGCATCCAAACCCATTCTCCAAATAGTAGTCACAGTTACAATAGCATTCACTGGGCAGGAGATCTGGGTATTTTCTGAGCCCTTTCTACAAAAGGTCTTTGTCTGCTGAGCAAATCTATCCACAAAAGGTGATGCTTGGATAGATGACATCTGAATCCAGTTCAGCTTCTGAATAACTGCTATGCATTTGCTCACACACACTCACAGAAATGGTGAATGGAAAGACCATCCCTTTATCCTTTATCTGCATGTAGAGGAGCTCCTGCAACTCCTCTAGTGGTTAAGAAACTGCATGTACTGTTTAGACTTTGTGCACTGGGAAAGTTTGGCATGCAGGCAATTCTTGAGAAAATGCCACTTTTCATACCATGTCGGTGTCATTTTGCCTGAAAAAACATTCCTCCCTCTGCTTGGAAAATGGATGTCTGCCACTTCTGTCCACATCAAAAAGAAAAAGGTAGCTTCTGTTGATTATAAGAAAAATTCCAAAATCTGTATTTTGGGCAAGATCTTTACAGGGCAACCAAAATGCCACAAAATAGGTGCAAGTTTTTGAATTCTTAGAGCTCTTCATTAGCCTAGGTGGCAATCAAAGCTAGAGGGGTGGGAAGGAGAGGAGAGAGGAAAAAAATATGGTTGACGTTGAAGTCATGGTGTCCGCAATTATTTCTTAAGATGGAATAGGGAAGGAGGTCACAGGAATTCAAATGAGGCTCTACCAAGTGCTGTGATGGTTTCAGGTTGCAGCTAGGACTGTTGAGTTCTGGAGAACTCAAAAGCTTGCACATTATTTTATAACATTTCCATTGGGTAGTCATGCTAATCTATTGCTGCAAAAACTGCACCTTAGTTTGTGGCACCTTAAGGCTATCAAGTAGCCATAATTCACAATCAACAATCAATCAATCAATCAATCAATCAATCAATCCTAGAATAAATGTGTTAGTCTTTAAAGTGACACAAGACTTCTAATTTTGCTTATACTTTTTGTGACATTTTGCTGCCCTTATGGATTTTGAAATAAAAATCCAACTCTAATTAGAACTTCACATGATGGAAGGGTCTCTTCTCCATAACTCTTTCATTGTATGCCTTTCCTTATGGCCAGTCTAGAAAAAGCTCTATTCCACCATGCTTTTCTTAGAAGGTTTCTTTTGCTTCATAGTTCTCTTTATAGTATGAACTATGCTTCATAGTTCCAGATCTATGGAGAAATTCATTACCTTCTACTGTGCACTTTCTAGGTGTCCTTCTAAAGTCCAAATATCCTGCTTGCTCAATCAAGAAATACAGTTTAATTTCTTCATTCAGCTGGACTGAGATTCTGAACTTTTCTGTAGGGCACTGCAGCGTTGATGTTCTATTACTCACCTCCATGCAATAGTCAAAATCCAGCAGTTATCAGCCTGTTAAACCCTCCCCATGTTTTGATTTTCACCCATGTGCCCTCCCCAAGTTTTGATACATGCTCATCTTCTTTGTCATTAATATGACGCAGGTGTTATAGTATCAAATAATATGGCCAGGTACATAGTGTCCTGGGCATTGAGTGGACAGAGGCAGAGGAATGTGTTCTGGCAGAACTGGGGGTATGTCTCATTTTCCCTCCCACAGCCCAGAATTTCTCAATTTGGAAGGAGGAAAACTCATTAGTAATGAGGTCAAAATGGTTCCCTTCCCCAGTATCTAGCAGCGGTTTTCATCCTCGCCCAGCATGTCATTGCTGTGTTATTCACATGTTGACATCCTAGGTTAGTGCCATGTCAGTCCTTGTCAAGCTACTGCAACCACCTCTTTGGAACCTTATGCCAAGAATTGCTGAAACATCCTTTTACAAAATATGCGATTCAGAAATCAACTCACCTAGACTGAGAGACACCTTATTCCAGAGCTTCACTGTCCGTCTGTGTGATCCTGTGTACTAAAGAGCATGTGTATGCAAGTTTTAATTTGCCAAGGCTGGTGCCCGCCCAGACGCCTGATCAAATAGTGTGCTGGAAGGCCATGGGCTCTGCTGGTATTTTTTTGGAGTGACCTCCAAGCAGCAGTCAGCTTGCAAACCAGAGTGAAGAGACCTTAAAACTGCTTGGCGTTATAAATAACTAGTGAGTTCTCTCTCTCTCTCTCTCTCTCTCTCTCTCTCTCTCTCTCTCTCTCTCCCTTTGCAATGGGCTTGGCAGTTTTTTCAGCCTCTCTCTGTTTAACAAGTTAGTGGAACCCTAGTTGTTGTTTTTAACAGTCTCTTGCTCATGCTGCCTGCATTTCCCATCAGGAAGAAGCAATGAAGCTTGAAAGAATTCTAGATTTTGGGTATCAGGCTGAAATGGTGAAAGTAAATTGTGTGGTTTAGAAATGGTACTTTCATGGTGATGCATCCAGGAGCAAAAGTGATGAAACCTGAAAGTGGAAAGGGATTGATCAAACTTAGCAGCAGAATTTGCCTTTTATGACAGATTCCTTAAGAAAATGCAGTTGCTGAAGGTTACTGGGCCAATCAGTTTTGTGTGAGCTCTGCCCTCCTATTAGACCTGAGATTTTACCCACCTTTTGCCATCCTGGCATCTCACTGCCCAATGTTTCCCTTGCACTTACATCTCTAGTCATTATCCAGGTGTTCCATAGTAAATTCACTGGTACTATCCTGGAAAACAGTTATTCTCTGAGATTGCAGAAAAGCCTCTGTTTACAGACAGCTCCCTCAACTGAATCAGTTCCTTAATAATAGTGGTGGATCCCCCAAGAGAAGCCATGAATATAATGTGCCTCTGTTCTAATAAATGCAGCTCTGCCTTTCATCTATTCTGGCATCAGAATTCCTGAACCAATCACATGAATATCTTCCTGCATCTGTGTGCCACCACCAACTGCCAATGATGCATTCCTGCCATTTACTCTGACAAAGAGAATAGTTTCTAAATAACAGAGACTAGGTACAGAACAGACAATTAAACAATGGTACAGAGACCTGCACAGGTACAGAGACCTGTGTGTCCAGTCACCCCAGCCTCAGCAAAAAAAAAAAAAAAAAAGGGAAGCTTTGGAGACCAATGGAATGAGGAGCTAACACAGAATAGAGTTCATTAAGACATTTGGCATTGTTATCTCTCTCAAAGTGGATACCTCACTATAAAAACATGTCCCCCAACATGCTGGTAGAGCTATTGTTGGATATTCATGCTGTGATGTTCAAGGATATGCAGCCAGTTCTTAGACTGTCTTGTATCCCTGGAGTGTTTCGTTTGCTGTTCGGTAGTCTTCCGAACCTTGCTGTGTTAACTTGGTTTACCCACCACAATACATCAATGGATGTGCATTCATAGTGCCCACCAGTTCCAAACTAATGTGAATGCACTGAAATAAATTTATATATTGTAGATTGTCAAAAAAGGTAAGTTCCTGGAATTCCTGAAGAATAGGAGGATATTTTCTTAAGTACAGTATAAAATAGCTGCCTTTTCTGAACTAACTGCCAGCTTGTATGAGGGAAAGATCAGGCAGAGAAACTAGCTTGTTTCTTTTTCATTGGGCTTGGTTGGAGCTGGAGCTGGTACTTCTGTGTGGTCTGCATGCTGGGAACCCAAAAGCCAGAGGTGTTACTTGCTATCTGCTCCACTGATTATTGGGATGCTTCTAGATTTTAACCTGCAATTAAAGCTCTGGTTGAATAATTGTACTGATTAATGTGTTGCTTTCCGCATATTATGTGAATCATATACAAATTCTGTAGCAGCCTTTTACACTGTCATTCCCTTGTGAGGAGTAACAGCCTTTTGGTGTTTCATTTATTTACAAATACATTAGCTAACCAGAGTTGGGAGGGGGGATTGCAAGCAGACACATAAGACAGTGCTAAACTATAAAGCAACATCAGTTCCCCAAAGCAACAATATGCCCTTGCAGCTGCCCAAGGCTACTTGCCAACCAGCTGCAAAAACACGGTCTTGTCTCCTTTGCAAGCCATATTTCAAACTGGAAAACTGTTTAATTCAGCACTCTGCTCTGGCAGGTAGGTATGTGGCCTGAAAGCTTGACGGAAAGCACAACAAATGACCATTGGTGCCCAAGCAAGCAACTTTAGCCAGTAGTCTATACAAAGCCCGGAGAAATTGCTGTCTTCTCACTTGACACACAACAGTGTTCCTGTAACAGTAGATTAAGGCTTATAGTTCAGCTAGGAGTGTTCAGATACACCAGCATCCAAAATATTTGCTTAACATGCCAAATTATGATATTAAAAGGAGGACATTAAATGGAAACACTGCCACCCCAAAACACTTTCTTTTATAGTAGCCAGATTCTGAGAGCTGAATTTCTTAAAAGAGCTCCAATTCAATTTATGCCCCTTAATAATATCTGCTTCATTTGGAGCAAAAGTCAAATTTCTTCAGAAAAGGAGCTTTCATGAGTGTACTAAGGAAGCAGAAGACACCTCAACTATATTCTGTTCACAGCTTCACTGTACAGATGCTGAATGATATCCTTTCCCTGTGCTAAATGTTCCTTATCTGTGTTGATACTTTCTAAAGCCAGGATTTTCAAAGCGTGAGGCATCCTCTCCCTGGAGGTTCAGGTTTTAACCACCCCAACCACATGCACATCCCTGGAGTCCAGGGCTCGTTTACCTTTGGACTGATCAACGAGGTGGATGGCTGTTCAGCAAGCCTTGATCATTAGTTCACTTGTGGAAATCCTGTGCCTTAGTGACTAGTAGGGCTAGAGGTTAATTTTGCAGGGGCTTTTTCCTTTCCAGAGATCTTCCCTCAGCTAACTTAAAGTACAAAGACATGCTCTCTCGCACACACAATGTGTGCCTTCTTTGATCTCGAACCCCACAGAGGTGGGATTGACCAACATCAAGTGAACCATATTTGTTTTGTCTTTGTTGAGGAAGTTCAAACAACCCTTTCCTTTATTTTTAAGTCATTATCTCTCTGTGGGTTACTTATTTTAATTCATGATTAGTGCCCCAGGAATTTGTTTTCATGCTCCTGCAAACATAAAAGTTATGTATTGTGTTCTGTCTTGACCTTCCAGCATGTGTGATTTGAATTCTCACTCAAAATCTTAACTTGTTCACTATCCACCTGTTTCTCAATCTATTTTCATTTATTGTAATGTTTTTGCTGTCCACACAAGAAAAACCATTGGGGAGGTTTGCACACCACACTAGCGCAGCCCAGCAATAAACAACGGTAGTTTGCTTGTTGCCCAAACAACATACTCCGTTGGACAAATGATGTAGCTCATCATGGGTTGTCTCTCCACCTTTTCCCTCAGTCCTCCTGCAGGTATTTCCAGGCACTCCACAGCAGGAGTGGCTCGTCTCCTCTACCCCCACCACACTAGTAAGCCCTGTTTAGCTCAGTACAGCTTTCTTCCCTTCCCTTCTCCTCCTCCCCGCAAGATTACAAACAGCTGTCTCCAAATTGACAGCCAATGGCAGCCCCTCCAAAGTGACATACTGGAGGGGCTGTTACTAGTAGACCATCTTTTAATTTTTTTCAAGTGTCCTATGTGTAGATAGGGTTACTTTTTTCATTTATTGCACATGTAGTTGGACCCACACAAGTCATACATGTGCATTTTCAGGGTCTGAAATGGGCAGCTTTGCCTAGACAGTGTCCAGGACTTGCAGCTGTCAAAGTGCAGTGGGCACTCACCATGGACACTGAACTAGAAATGTTGCAGTGCGGTTAGTGTTTTTCCTTTTTCCTTTGCTTTTCTTTGACAGCTGTCAAATGGAAAGCTGACAAAGGAAAGCTGAATGATCTTTGCTTATGAAAGGGGATGGACAGCAGTAGCCTCTGCCACAATCACCTCTACTCTTCAGCTGGGCCTGCCTCTTCTCACTGCCCTCATCTTTTATAACCATTCCCAAGACTATAGGAGCTTGGGAAAGTGGAAAAGAGGAAGCCACCCCCCTTTGACAGGAGCACAGAGTTTTGACAGCTGTCAAATGTTAGGCTTCCCTCTAAAATGGAGTGTCCACATGGATAAATGCTTACATCTGTGTTCCTTAGAAAAAACCTTGGTTAGCCCTATCAAAATCTTCATTTTAAAAAGTAGCCTGAGTTTTAATTCTGTGATGTCCACGTGGCATAGATGGGCAACTTCAAAGTTCTTGCTCCCCTGGCTTCTTCTTATTCTTTATTTTTAAAACAGGCTTGCTTGGAGAGCCCGAAAAATACAGTATACCTTTAACAAATAGAGGACTGTCCTCAGAGAACCCTCTGAATACAGAACCATTCCCTTTAAAGCAGGGTACATATCCTAACTGCGCACTCAAAGATCTAGATAACACTTTGTGTCCTGAAGGCAATTTTTGTCTGCTTACAACTACTTAAATATAAAGGGTAGCAAATTTCTTCTGAACTAGAGTAAAGAAGAGTGAATGGAGCCTGCAGAGAAATTGCAAACCATATCACATTGTTTTATGAACATGTAATGAATTATTAGTTACTAATGATATAGTCTTCAATGAGATTTTCCCCCAAATATCTCTTTGGATGGGTAGAATAGCTTACCCACATAAATGGCTGGGGTGTGTCTTACCTTCTGTGTGCAGCTGCTAAGGTGGCATTCAACTTGGCTGCCATGTCAGAACCAAATCCTGCCCCTGGGTATATCAGCACAGAAATCTGCAAGACTGCCAGTTCCTTCCCACAAGGAGTAGTAGCCTCATGCCTCTTTCACAGCTTCTCCCATACATGGTGGCCACTGCCTAGCGCGAGTGTAGCTCCTCCATTGCACCACCATTAGCAGAAGGGTTCATGTCAATCAGTTTGGCCAAGCGTATAGCCCACATATTGGCAATACTTTCTGCCCAATATTTTCAAGCACCATCCTGGGCCCACAGACTGTCAACATTTTCAGGTTGTTGCTATGTTCTTTGCTTTCCAAACTTCTTTTGCAACTGCTGGTACTGCTTTGGACCTGCTAACCGAGGAGGGGTCCATCCCCAAATAGGATTCAAAAATAATTGGGTAA